GGCCCAAGCTAGTTCCCGCCCGTTCCTCCTGCTCCCTGTAGAGACCTTCAAGACCCGAGTAGATTCCCAAATGCCAGACCCGATCCTTGGTGTGGAAAGAGAATCTTGCGTGCTTTATATCCCCCGGCGTAATATTTTCAGGGGCACGATCAGGGACACCATCTCCAAAAGCTTGCCAGACGATAGTAAACCAATGATCATCTTCCTCAGGCGGCTCTTGCCCGCTGGATGGAGTGGTGAATCATGCCGCATCACGATGATTGATGATCTCAATTTGTGATAGAAGCCAGACAAAGAGCACGCAATTCGACGTAGCGGCGAGACGTAATTTTCGATAGGGGTAGGGGATCCTCTGTCCCCATATCAAACTGTTCAACCCTGCCCCGTCGTTGGGGACAACGAGGTTCGATGTAATCGTGACAGATAGCGGTTCACAGAACTGGCATATATGAGTACTGGAGTCGTAGAGTGGACCACCCGGAATGGACCTCGGCCAGTATTCTAATAGGCAATCTTGGCGAGTGTCCATGGCCGGCAACACGTCGAGGATGCTTTGATCGGATTCAGTGTCGGGTGGATTGTGAGAAGGGAATAGAATGACGTTGGGATGCAATATATAACCCCGATGTCCCCGCACATGTGCTCGGCCGAGGTAACGCAACCTGAACTTGCTAAAGGTCGTGGAACAGTTTGACCTATTAAAGATTACTAGAGGTCGAACACTTGCTCTCTTGATCACCTGCCGACGTAGTAGTGCCACCAGTGCTTCCGGTGGCAGCCAGGGAATTTGAACGATTAGTAACACAACCAGTAGTACTGGTATCACCATCTAATTATTGCGCTTCTGAGTGTTGCTTCATATATTATATATACCTCGGAATTCCACTTTATACGCCTTCAATAGAATAACCGTGTCCGTAGAGTGAACCATTTCTGGTATATGTTTTCATTTCACAACCCATTTCTTGAGCAACTTGAGTCTTGAGCTGCCTGTTTCCTGCCTCGGAGATAACCATTGGATCCCCGCTCCTCCCGTCTTTTTATTGGCTGCCCGGATTGTCCTGTACGTTTTAGACAATCAGGGGTATCCCGGTTGCCTCTTCGTATCCATGAACCCAATGATGAGGACAACCCTGGTTGGCTCGGTGACGGATAAGCAGTTGAAGGATTGCCAAGTCTCCAGCAAATCTGTGGACACAACAACTGAATGTGATAATGATGGGACAGACGATCAATATCAGGCGGTTCCAACACCACCCGCCGTCTGAGTATTTCAGACTTTTCTTAAAACCAGCGGCTTCAAACATCTCCAACTCTTCCCGTAGCCTGTAGGCCAACATGCCTCCCAATCCATCCGCACTCAAATCATTCGAATGGTTCAGGTACAACAACAACTACCCCCGGTGCACCATGTTCATAAATCGGCTGCGATGGGACCCGTTCACTTCGCCTGATATTGAAAAGTCGGTCGCTGTAATCGAGGATCCAACAGATGCCTACTCACCGCAAAGCGGCTACTCTCCCACCCATCCCATTGCAGATCAGCCAGCGACGGATCCGCCGGTGAGCTCGATGCGAGTCGTCACACACGATATCACGCTCTGGGACTACCATTGGTTGCAAAAACATCGAGAGCATCTCAAAGACCCCTCCAAGGTGCGGTGGGGGGACCACGACCGCGACGACTACAAACCTCGCGGTGGATGCGGCACCCGAAAACCTCGCGGTAAGGAAGTCATCATCGGATGCTGCAATCAAGATGCGCCACCAAACTACTACGACTCGCCCGATGGTGAGTTGAATGGCGAGATCTGGGCAACGAACCGCCCCTACGTCACAGTGAACGACTACATCACCGGCGTAAACAATTACATCCAGACCCACCGGGCCCAGATCCTCGCCGCCAAAGGTGAAGCCGATCACCTCGATGGCCCTTTCCCTGTGGGACCGACGCGACGCCTCTACCTTTGGCCAGCGGGCGGTCTGGATTACCTGAGTTTCTTTGAAGAAAATGAGTTCTACCGCGCCAATGACCTGGATTGGGAGAGCTTGGCCGATGTCTGTCGATCCGAGGTTGAAAAGATCACCATCAACTACCTGTACAACACCTTTCCGCCGGAATTACCTACTAGAACGTATCACACCGCCACATACACACGCCGGAAGGATCAGTGGTCAGAGCCCACGACTAGAGTTGAGGTTTCTTGGGGGGCCGCTATCAAAGGAAGCTCGAGGAAGGCTATGGACATGCATGTCTTCGAGTTCATTTTCGGACCGCCAAAACCGGAACCTGAACGGGTGTCCGCTCAGACCATCATAAACCTGTTAAGAAGCCGCTTTCCAATGCCTCCTAGTCCGCGGATGTATGCGTATACTCGCGATTACTCTCTCACACGGGAGGCCTGGGTAGCCAGATTCGGAGACGGGGTGACCTGTCCTGCTTGGAGGCTTGACTTGTTGAGAGGGATAGGAGGATAAGCACTTGATCGGTGTAATCGAAGAAGGTACGGATTATTTTAGATATCCGCCAGACCTTGGCTGAACCAAAAATAAAAACAGTTTGGTAGTGAACAAAATGGCCGATGTCAACATCTGGGTATTATTGGGCAATCATATCTATAAATTTACATCGTTGATTCGCTGCTACCGCTGTGATTATGGATCAAAATCTCCAGCATGAAGAATATCATCCTCTCGGCTCCTGCCATTCATCATTCTCCAAATCAAACGAGGGTCGAGCTTCTGGAACCTTGTGCCTTTCTTGACAAACTTGGAGCCCAAGAGTCTTGTGACCTCCCAGACAGAGTCTTCCTGCGACAGCTTTTCTACATCTCATATATCTGGTTAGCAATCTTTCTTTGCCCATCCCACAAATCATCCATACAACTTGGAAACTTACGATGCAAGAAAACAGCAGCCCTCTTCCCGCTATACATAGCATGCGGCACATTAGTCGAGTTATCCGAGTTTGCATCGCCAGCGGCATAGATCCCGTCGATATTCGTCCGCATGTTTTGGTCCACGCCCAGACGACCAGGGCTGTACATGTACACGCCTGTCTCTTCACCGAGGCTGCTCCGCTGTTTGCTCGGGAAGCTAGTGAAAAACACCCCTCTTTGATGGATTTCTCGAACATCATTCCCATCGGTCTTGTTTGCGAGCTCAATATCAAAAAGATCAAATTCCGCTGTACTCGGTAAAGATGGATCATGGACCCCTTCAGAGCCGTCTTTGACCCGTTTGATGGAGATAATCGTACGGTTCTCAATCTTGACGTTGTGCTCCGCCAGATACTTCTCCCACCCGGGAAATGCAGCGTCATTTAGGGCGCGGTATTCGGGTGTGTCTGTGCCGTTGACATAGGCTATGACATCGGAGTTGAGGGTTATGATTTCTCGAAAGGCACCGACTGCGTCGTTGAGGTCGCATAGCAAGCCCATTGGTTGGTCGGCGTGTTCGTGCCCGTCGCACCAGGGACACCAGTAGATGCCTTTTGCCCAGTTTTCGGCGAGTCCCGGGGTTGAAGGGATGACGTCGATTAGGCCTGTTGCGAGGATTACTTTTCTTGTTGTGAGTTGTTTCGTGGTAGGGCCTACAGTGGTGTTCAGATCGGCGGTCACGGTGAAGAAGGAGGTGCCCGGGCTCACGGGGTTCCGGCCGGGTGTGATTTTTGTGACGGTGCCGTTGGTGAATGAGACAGTTTTGTAAGTAGTTATTTGACCTCTGGCGCTATGTCGGAAATACGCTGGTGTGACGCCTGTGATGAGGTTAGTTCCGCAGCTTTGGTAACTGAGAGAGGTAAAGCTGGCAATACCATCGTGTCCCAAAACATCATGCATGTTTCTGGTAAGGCCATTTCGATACTCGCCAGAGTCGATTAGGAGAGCCTTTCGTCGGACGCGCGCAAGGCCGCTCAGCGCGGCAAGACCAGCTGGGCCTCCGCCAACAATGATTGTATCATAGTCAATTCTGGGCGGGAGTCGTTTGTTCGGGATGGCCACGGGGCTGACCAATGACGCCAGGTTTACGAGGATGAGTAGTGCGATAGACAAGTACATGATGATGAGTGTTCTACTGTAGGTCAACTTTGAAATGGTGAACGTAGGATGAGTATCAAATTCAGGTTAAGAGTGATATACTGCCGTGCAGCTCATTGTCGAACCAGAGGTCCGGAGTAGGGCCGATTTCAGCATCCGTGGTTGCCGGATGCGGAAATGTTGATGCAATCGACGACGCGGGTACAAGATGTGAAGACAAACACAACAAGTCTAAAAAGGAGAAAAATGAGAGAAATATGGTGACGTGGCTATTGACCAGGCAGCAAGATTTGGCCCACCGGCTAGGTTACCGCCACGACTTGAGCACCCTACGTCGCTCAGTACAAGTCCAGGAGATTTGCTTTCGTGATAGCGATTAAAGTAGGAGACGGGAGTTGACAGCCTGGATTCAGTTTTCTGATCGGCAATTATGTGCCGGAATGCCGCATTCCCTCCGAACACTCCAACTTTGTTAATTGTTGAAAATACATGTATTTCGACAACAAAAACCTCAATAACGGGATGTCATATGGAAGGTTCCAAAAACGGGGAACTTGCCATCTGAAGCTCAAGGTTAAGATCCTAATTAGTTCAACTTACAACCAACAGGTATGGCAGCTAGCTTATATGAGTCCGTCTCATTGGACACCGTGCCAAGTCGATGAAGTTGCTCAAGATCACACGTCAGCCTGAAATCTGGAAACATGATATGTACGTGTACATGGGTTAGGGTTCCGGCACATGTCACGACTCGTGTATGCTCGTGGCACTGCTAACTCCAGTCTGGCAAATCAGAGTTCCAGGATGGATACCTTTCAACCCACAACGTCCCCATCACACAACAGGCACAAAAATGAATTAAACCTTGAACAAACGCTTTCCGCCCATCCACCCATCCACTAAACCCACAGCTCCACTGACCTTTTATTCCATGCCGGCCGAGTCATCCCCAAGCAACAACCAGGCAAGATGGCCGAGCGGTCTAAGGCGCCACGTTAAGGTATCACCTTGATTAACATTCGCATCTCTTCGAGATAAGGATTCCGTGGTCCGAAAGGGCGTGGGTTCGAATCCCACTCTTGTCATTATCCAGATCTGAGCATATCATGCCGTGAAAAAGATCTCATCTTTTGCTTAACTCGAGGTTAACCTCGACTTTTAGTCTTTACACATCCCAGCAAGTCAATCACTACAAGATGCACACATCACGTGCAGCTTACCAAATCAGGACAAGGCAAAGTGGCCGAGTGGTTAAGGCGTTGTGTTTAGGTCTTTGTCCCCGCAAGGGGGTATGACTTTCCGCAATCCGAAAGGGCGCGAGTTCGAATCTCGTCTTTGTCAACGCTTATCTTTTGTTGTTTTATTCTATTTCATTTTTACAACTTGCCAAAGCGAGATTTGCAGCATTTGCTTTCCTGTTTTCCCCTCAAGATTTTTTTCGTCTTTTACATTATTAGAAGTAAAATTCCACCCATAATCTAATGTTGTTTCACTTCCTGCTCTTCAACGACTGACAAATATGCATGACCCAGGATCGCATCTTTAAAATCTAACATGTAATCCGAGATCCCACTTTTCCGTTTTATTAAGCAAGGATAGTGAAATGCGACCATGGCAGGAGGTTTGATTATTCCCATCTTGGATTGTCCGCAATCTAATCACAAAAACTGCTATGCGGTTATGTCACCTGCGTCATCCTTCCTTGATCGCGACCCAGATATCTTCCGAGGAGACCTATCAGCATAGCTGCTGTAGGGATCTTCGTTACTTTGTCATAAGCCGGACTGGTCAAGCGACCGACCAGATTATGCACGCATCCTCGAGGATGGAACAATGCTGACAAGTCCGGACACATTTGGAGTCGAGCTCACAGTTTGTGTCCGTCCGACCTGTACCTTATGGAGTACTTATTCTCTCTTCCCCCAGTTTCATTCAGTTCCCGCGCGGCAAGTCTTTCATCTTTGACGTCGCCCATTTCATAGTGAGCCGTAAGCCGTGTGTACCGCGTTGTTCTTCCTTCTGCACCACCCTCTGCAAGACCGTTTCCTCGACGATTGAGACTTGACAATCCCGAAATGACAACACCGCCTCCCGAAAAGAGTCCCAAGCCGGGCGTAAACATTTATGGCGGTGCAGTAGTCAATCCGTACAAGCTTACCATTCTTGTGGAAGAACTAGGGTAGGTTTTGTTCAACTTTTCAGATGTCCATATGACACAGCCAAATTTAACCAGGCAACGATACGATATTGACACTCTGTGACAACCCAAACAGCATCCCATACAACTACATATCCGTAGACTTTGCCCAAAACGAGCACAAATCCGCGTGGTTCAAAGCGATCAACCCCAACGGCCGAATCCCCGCCATGGTGCATGTCAAGGACGACGGGACCACCATCAACCTCTTCGAGTCAGGCGCGTGCATGCTCTACCTCGTCGCGGAATTCGACTCCTCTCACAAAGTTTCTTACCCATACGCAAGTCCCGAGTACTGGACTCAAGTCTCCTGGCTGTCATGGCAAATCGCAGGCTACGGACCGATGATGGGCCAGTCGTGCCATTTTGCTCGGTATTTTCCTCTCGCTTCCCCCGCCGAGGGCGAAAAAGGCAAATCCGGCGATGATGGGAAATTCTCCAAAGAAGCAATGGAATACGGCACATGGCGCTACGCAGCTGAAGCTCGTCGGTTGAACTCCGTTCTAGAGGAACAACTTTCTACCCCCGGTCAAAAGTACATCGTCCCCGGGGAAAAGCCAACCATAGCCGACATGGCAGTATTCATATACGCCTACAGCGCAGCCTGGTGCGGCGTGGATATCAACGACTTTCCCAACGTCAAGGCCTGGATTGGTAGACTGCTAGAGAGGCCGGGGTTCAAGAAGGGGTTGCAAGTCCCGTCGCCGTACAGTTACTCCGATTCTCAGGTGTTGGACCCGGGTATGACGGAAGCCCATGGGACGGGGCGGAAGTTTGGCACTCTGTATATCAAGATGTGTTCGGAGGAATGGGCGGCCCAGGGGCAGGTGCCTGCTTTGCCGTCTGATGTTATACATCTGGGGGAGCATTGGCCAAGCGAAGTGATTCTCTACTAGTTGCGCATCCCATGATCTTCTGAATCTCTCTTTCCTGAGCGATAAGAATGATCACGAGAGAACCCACCTAAGTTCCAGTGATGACTTTTCAGGGGCGGCAGAGATATAGATGCGAATAAATGATGGTGTTCTTGATATAACTTTTTGTTCAAATGACTGGAGAAAGAAAATGAGATAGATCTTAAGGAAGAGGTTTGGAAATGACAAAAAGCCAAAAAGCCAAAAAGAATGCTTTCTCTCCCGCCGGGAATTGAACCCGGGTCTCGAGCGAATCGGAACCAGGGGCTGGATGACAAGCTCACATACTGACCACTATACTACGGAAGATTTGCAAGTGTGGACACTTGCCGTAGCTGGATGTTGCTTGGCAGGAGGTGAGATAGTATTCCTTATCTATGGAGAACTCGGCTCCTGTGGATTGTGGAGGCTTGGGTTTACCCGCCGAGTGGCGATGTTCCCACTTTCCCTTGGATGAACCGATCCCTTCTTGAATGCATGACCAGATCGTGGTTTTGGGAATTGTGTTTATCTTATTGTTACATGGCTTTTCTCAAGTGGTATTAAGTGGTTGCAACAGTGTAACATGTCCGTTGGCCTATCTTTCAATCTAGGTAACCCCCAAACTTAGACACAAGATTTCGCGGTACCCAGAACCAATCACAAAGCTGCTGCTGAATGCGTAACTGTCTAAGCTGGTGAAACCATGCAGGATCGCGGCTAATTTTGTCCACACTATGACTGTGAATCCTGGGATGATAGTATGCCCGGTACCTGTGATATCGGCCGAGGCGGCCGCCTGGTTGCTGACATGGTAGTCCTGTTGAAGTCATGTAGTAACAGATTGAGTCCTCTGGTGTTACACAGACTAATCCTATCTGGATCATGAGGCCGAGATATGTGACCAGAAGAAGCACCCCAGGTACTTATCCAGCATCGCGGCTGTGTAAACCCATGCATGCGTTGCGTCGGTTGCGAAGCTGATACAGGTTTCAATTGGCAAACATTCTGCCAGCTGAAGCCTTGAAGTCTTGGCAAACAGCGACACCCATCTCCTTAGATCATGTGGTGGTCCTGCTGCGCGCGCTTGTCACCAATCCGGTGGAAGGTCGAGTCTGGCTTGCAGTTGTAGCGTTATCAAAGCTATAGGAGCTAAGGAGCCCCGGACCCTTGCAGATTCTATATTGTTTGCGCCAACGTTGGTGTTTATGTTGACCTCTGGTGTCTGCGTCAAGAATAGTACAACGGCTGTTTGGTCTCACATCAAGATCACAGCCACGTTAGGGTGTGATTTTGAAGAGAAGAGTCGAAAGATTGAGTTCAACTTCTTAACGTGCTCGGTAGGAAGCACCGACAGATTGAACATGGCTGGAGTCGTTGATACAGTGTGCCGTTGGCGTGCATCCATTACCTCCATACCAATCACACACGGATAATGTTTGGTATCCCAATCTCGCGACTTGTTCCAATTCAGATCGGGGACAATAATATTAGTATTCTTTCCCCACATACTGGTTGTTCAGAGATCTATGTCTGACAACACCACTGTGGATTTGGTACGGCTCAGTTTCGGATATGACAATAAGAGAATTAAAGTGATCATGGTCAGCGCGATGTGCTCATAATACTGCCGCAGGTTGAGGTTTGGACTTAGAGCTCGAATCGACACACCTTCTAGCAGTGCATACCGGCTCTTCGGTTTCAGAAATGCCCCCAACTTAACTGGACATTCCTTGTGCGAACAAGACGCCAACATCATGTTTGTGAATCCAACACTGGTCGGTGACGCCGATAGTTCCTTGACAGTCCAAAGACAACTCGCTAATATTTGATGCTTGACGTGATCTGTTTGAAGCTATCCGACGGAGAGAGTGTGCTCTGTTGGGCGTCGGAAGAACAAGAGAAAACTGAGATGTGATCGGTAATTCCGCCGCATGGATTGCGTCAATGTGAGTTGACCGAGTCACTTTTAACCTATCGTGTCGATCGTGAAATCGAGTGGGCGGCAATCACAGGCGAAGATGGCTGGGAGTGGAGAGTCGGACCGCCCAGAAAACAGACCAAAGAGGAAACGGGTGAGCAAAGCAAACAAGGTGAATCAAGCAAGCTATTTGTTGCGCCCGGTCCATGACCACCATGACGGTCAATATACCTGTCACTGCGGACAATATCGCGGCATTAAAGAGCAGGCTTCCAGAAGGGGTTGGAAATAGTGGGTCAGCCCCTGCAGGGTAAAAGGGTGCTGAATGCATGGAAGCCTTCTAGAAGCAATCCCACCATGCAGAGCCAAGACATGCAGAGTGCTGCTTTGCCTTGGCGCCTGCAGCACAGTGTGTTGTCTAAGCACTGTGGTGCATGTACTGCAGGACGGAAGGTGCTCATGTCCCTCGTCGGGTATCGGTACCTTTCACGGCTTCCTTGGTGTAACCGGGTCACGACAGCCGGTTAACAGCTAGTCGAGGTAAGACTAAGAACGATCTGATGCGTGACGGCTGGGCCCTAACCGAATTCAAGCCGTCAGCCCGGTTCTGCAGGTGTCAAGTTCAACAAATGACTGGACCCTAGCGGTACGAAGTCCAACGGGCAGTTGGTTCCGAGATTTCGCCGACTCCAACCCCCTCTGAGTGTGGCTGCGGAGCAGCAAAAACAGCAACAATGGCAGGCGCTATCAAGCGGTCTCAATTGGGCTGCAGCTTGCAAGTACCTCTTTGCGGACCACAGCGGTCGATGCCCAGTGGTCTTTCCCCGAGTACTCCTTTTGTCATTTGATGCGCACAAAAGGCAAGAACACCCCTCATTGGCCCTTCCTGACGAGTTTGCGTCAAGTGCATCCACCAATCATATGGACAAGACCCTGGGCCTAGACAGGGGCCAGTCTTCGAGAACATGCATGGAAGGTACGCCCCGGCGCCACCTGGACTTTTTATACTTATCGAGTGACCGGCCACTTGGCTGTGACTGCCATTGGAATGGAAAGTCACTCTTCATCAGCACACCGACCTTGAATGCTCTAGGTCCTTGGCAGTGCCATTCCCAGTTTCCACTGTTGTCAAATTGTTCTGCTGTTCCACCCCAGTCAACCTCGATACACAACCGGTAGGCGAAGACGTTTCTAGCTCTTTGCAAGCCATGTTCCGGCGAAGGGAACAACCGTCACTTGCCGATCCGAGCGACAAACCCAAGTGCGGTATCGACCGCCATGATGGTCGGTCTGCATTGCAGATATCCCCCACTTATTATGACATTCACCC